TTCTTGTCATTATTTCCTAACCAATACAGTATACCAACTATTTACATAGCATATATATCGTATTAGGTATTGTAAGTAATCTAGAGATGATTTAAATTATATAGGAGAATGTGTATATTTTATATAAGGGACTCGAGTGTCTGTGGATTTTTGTATCTGCAGAGGTCCTGGAACCAGTCCTCCACAGATACCAAAGGATGACTGTATTTAGTTTCTGGTTCTGTTGACCTTGCCTCATTCTAAAATTTGTCAGGTAAAAATTTGAGTGTGACCGTATCAACTCTGATAATAGTTAAATTCCATGAGTCCCTATTTGAATGAAATGAGTTGGTCACATCACTCTTATTTTGTAGTCATGGCATACATCCTGCTTATTGAAACCACCAGTTACCCCCTTTATAAGCCATTTTGATAGAGAATCAGCAAATGAGAGGATGTTGGAGAATAAGACTCTCTCGCCTTGACTCTGGGATAGGAGATGGGAGAGGATGTGGGGAAATTGTTATAGTATTTAACTGTATTCTGTTCTTTCCTTGGATAAAAATTTTAGGCTCTCTAGTTTATGGTCATTTTAACATTTCAGAAATTATTAATTGAAATAATTTTTTGCTGTGTTCTTATTTGTGTGCTTTTCTGGATTTACTTACAAGATATTTCTCAAATTAGGTTTGCAGTCCTGGGAAGACATTGATAAACTGAATTCATTTCCCAAACTTGAAGAAGTGAGATTGTTAGGAATTCCTCTTTTGCAGCCATATACCACTGAGGAGCGAAGGAAATTGGTAATAGCCAGGTCTGTTGTCCTGATTCTGTTGCATTCTTTTCATGGGGCCTTCATGTTTCATTAAAGGGATAACACACTATTTAGGGGGAGTGGACTATGAGTTTATCCATCTCTTGAGCAGACTGTGCTTGAAGGAGCTGCTTCTGTAGCTCCAAATCCTGAATGAAAAGGAATGCAAGCGGTAAGGTGAGGAAAATGTGAAATACATTTGGGCTGCTGAGACCTCTGAAATATTTCCTCACAAATCTATTCTATTTTTATGCTTTTTAAGACTTAGAATATGTGAAGTCCTGTTTCGGGTCACAAAGTAAAAGTATGTATTTAGGTTATTAAGTATGACATGTCCGATTTACTTCAGTACTAACTAAGTTTGACAGTTCTTGTTTTGTTTTTATTGTGAAAGTACATCCTCATTCTTTCAAACTCATGTTTTGGCTTATGATTACCTTTCACATTTTTTTAGAGCGATTTTTTGAAACCACGGATAAGTAAAAAATTTGTGTTATTTTTGAATATGAGTTCCGTTGTGGAACCTGTGCAGTGCAGACAGCTTGAAATATCAATGAAGTGTTTGGGAAGGATGTGGCTAATGAACGCACAGTACATCATCAGTGGTTTGAGAAATTCCGTTCTGGTGATTTTAATCTTGAAAATGAGCCACATGGACAACCTGAGACCAAGGTGGATAATGTAGAGCTGAAAGCTGTAATAGAAGCGAATCCATCTCAACCTATGTGTGAATTAACAGCAAGGTGTGACGTTACTATTCCAACAATATTGGACCGTTTGAAACAAACTGGCAAGGTAAAAAAGCTGGATAAATAGGTTCCACATGAATTAAATGAGTGTCAGAAAAGAAATCATCTCGAAGCTTGCCTTTTTTTGCTGTTACAACATAAAGGCAAACCATTTCTATACTGTATTGTTACATGTGATGAAAAAGAGATTCTATGATCGCAGGTGTTCAGCACAATGGTTGGATAAAGATGAAGTGCTGAAACACAGTCCAAACCGAATATTCATCAAAAAAAGCTAACGGTGTCTGGTGGTTCAGTGCTACTGTTATTCATGAAACCTGATTAATAGATTACAGGGGATGTCTACTGTAACCAACTGGGAAAAAATGACGAGGATGCTTGCACTTAAGCAGCTGAGACTGATCAATAGAGACAGGCCAGTCCTCTTGCAAGATAATGCTCAGCCACATGTCACACAAACAATGCTCAAATTACAGAGGATGGACTTGGAAACTCTCTGTCATCTACCGTCTTTACCAAACCTTACACTAACTGACTACCACCTCTTCCAGATTTTGGACCACTTCTTGCACAGAAAAATATTCACACATGGAAAACGCCTTTCACAATTTCATCGCCACTTGCTCTCCATGCTTCTTTGCTGCTGGCATAAACAGGCTATTGTTAAGATGGCAAAGCTGTGTCGATAGTTTAGGTGCATACTTTGATTAAATCATACTGCTTCTTGTTTGCGATATAATAAACTACACTTTAAATTAGAAATCGGATATTTCATATTTAATGACCTAATACGATGGAATAATTTTTATTGTAGTTGTCTTTATTTTCTCTGTTATCATATTGATCATTTAAAATGTAAAAACCTGAAAATTGGGCTATTTCATTAGTGTAAAACTTAAGAGAGCAGCATATTTTTTTCTTGAATATAGATTGGCTTAAATACGACTACCATTATTGCCATCTTCCTCCTTTGACTCTCCTTGCCTTTTGTGTCTCAGCCTCTGCCTGCGCAAACTCATAGAAATTTTCCATGTTTATTTTTGTACGAACCTTTAGAAGAAATAAGATTTTGGCTAAAACGCAAGGGCCATGGATCTATACTTTGTTCTCTTTCTGTACTCTACATAGTGATTTTGAAAGGGGAACAGTAGGCTTTCAGGTTCCCTAAAGTATAGTGGTTTTTTAGACAGGATATTATTGATCTTTGTAACCAGCTAATGCCTAGCGGATGTTTACTGCTTTGCAGTTGTTAACATACGTATTAATATCTCTCTGCAGAAATAAATGTCAACATACTTTTAAGAAAAGGAATCTTGCTGTAGTCCTTGTACTTTATTTTCTTTACACAATTCTTTTGCAAATATAAGAAGTTAATTCCTGAATTATATAACCCAATTGTACTGACTACTGTCTAGATCTGTGCTGTTTTATATGGTAGCCACTAGCTATGTGTGGCTCAGAGTACTTAAAATATGTCTTACCTGAAATGAAATGTGCTATAAGGGTAACATAGATATGAGATTTCAAATGCTTTATATAAATAAAAAAATGTAAAATGGCTCAT